CAAAGTAATAACCATTAAAACTTAACAAGTAAACAACACACTGCCTGATTTGAACAGCAGCCTGTGCATCACTGTGGACACTTATTGTGTTTGCTGCTGCTACCATAAGCATTGAAGTAATTATATCTTAGTGTATTTAAATTGAAGCTTTGAATGGAGAAAAATCCAAATCAGCCTTTTAAAGATCAGAACAAATCTAAACATCTACATGAAGCCGTTTTACCTCTCTTCATGGGTGTGTCAGTGACAGTTCTGGAGGTGTCTCTGGTTTGTTCTGCATCAATTAGAGCTGTAGAGTCAAATAATAAGTCAGATGTTATATAATACAGGAAACAAAAAGAAGATATTTTAAGTCACAGCTAGATTTCCTACCTGGTATTAATTTTTCTGATCCTCCTGTAGCATTTTTAGTGACTGTATCTTTCAAGTTGTCTTGGCTGCCATCTTTATGAAATGTCACTGAAAAGAAGAAAGTGTTAGATTTTTTTTTTCTTTCACACAGTTAAAGTTTGGTTTGTCTCTACAGTATTGCTGGTTTACCAGGTTCCATGTTTATGTCCAGATGTTCCTCAGAGTCACTGTGAGCATCTCTGGTGTTTTCAGCTGGATGCGATGTTGGTGAAGAGAAAGCTGGAACACACATTAAACATTATTAAGACAAAAGAAAACATGAAGGCATAACTCACAGACAGCATAGAAAGATTCTAAATCATCTTTATCTTACATCAGTCATCATTGTGTACAAGTGTCATTTGAATTTGATTTCAATTCACAAGTATTTGCACACTTCTCTCTGGTAGTTCAGTAGAGTTGTTTTACTGGAGTAAATGTGAAGAGTCACATTGTCTTGTTCATAAAAATGTTTATTTTTAAGACATACAGAACAAGTAGTCTACATATATTTTATCACATTTGTTATTCTGTAACTGTAACGGTGCTGCTTACCGGATTCGAAATATGAGAATATAAGTTTCCTAAAGCCAGAAATGTCTAGAACATGTCTGACATCATGAGCTGGATCTGGTGTTTGTAAAACTGTGGGATGAAAAGTGAAAATCAGTAAGAGGAGCAAATTATGAAGTTAAAATCAAATCAAATGTTTTCCAGTATTAACCTGTTAATATCTGAACTGGTGTCTCTGTGATATTTCCGGCACTGGTTTCAACAGAAGAGCTGCGTCTGTGGTCTGGATGAGGTGAAAGCAACTCTGTGGAAAATAAAACGCAGTAACCGTGAATGTTGTGCATCCAACCAGGCAGCGTATGTTCATACAGGACATAGTCACAGCTAATAAGACATACTGTATGAAGGTTTCATATTTAAGAATATATTAAAATTAACATTCACAATGCTTCTACAGCAGCTGTCTAGATCGTGTCCAGAAGCTGAACATACAGGACACATTGTTTCTTACCCTTTTTCACAGCACTGACATTTCCACCGTCACTGAAGGCATCACTGTTGCTGCTAAAGTCTGCAGTAACTAAGATTGTAGAATAAAATATCACAAACGTTAACACTGTTATTGTGCAGTCCTTTTAGTTATCATACAAGATACATGTGTGTCATAGGGTGACTTTGATCACATTTACTTAAAGTTAGAGTTTTCCTCACCTGATGATAGTTTAAATGGGGCCTCTGTGACATTTGTCCTGTTGGTATCCTTCAGGGAGTCGTGGCTGCGGTTTGGATGAGCAGATTCTGACCCTTGAAAATAAAAAGTTTGGTATGATTTTTTAAATATAAAATGTCTAACAAGTGTTTCTGTCACTCACAGCGGTTACTAACCAGATCCCAGGTTTGTGTCCACAAGTTTCTCAGAATCAGTCACATTAAAAACACCTCTGGCACCATCAGTTGGACGTGGAGCTGAGGATTCTGTTAGAGGAAAAACATGCATGTGCAGACTTAAATTACCATTTCAACAGCAATTAAAAGGAGCAAAACTGCAAGTCACAAACACAAAATCATCATAACCATCTGCTATGTTGATTGTAGTTGGTTACTTGGCAAACTGCTGATGTTTTGTGTGTTGATTTCAGTGAAGGAAATTGAGAAAGAAGAGAAATGGAAGGGACAGTTCTGGTATTTCTTTGTAAGACTTTAGCTACAGATCCTAACAGTAAGAGATGTCGACATGCATAGGAAATATAACAGGTCTGAAAATAATGATCAGCTACAAAATGAAAACAGCCTAAACATCATTCTGAAAGACTGTTGCCTCTATAGACTTTAGCAGCACTTTAGGGTTTTCTTCTACATGAAGCACAGCATATGTGATCAGCTACTGGGGTCATGCCTTCAGTATTTTTGGGGGGGATTTTTTCCCAGGCAGAGTTACCCTGCTGTTCTCAATATTTTAAAATCTGTCTTTTTGGGCTAATGAATAAAGGATTCATGTTTTCCTTAACAGAATTTTAATCCCGGCAATGTGGAGACAATGTGAGTGAATTTAATTTAACAAACAGAATGTAAACAAATCCAGATAATTAAACTGTTTAAATAAAAACCAGAATAAAAATCATTAGACTCCATTAATGTTGCCTAGTCATTTTTTTCAGGGGGAGCATGACTAAAGACCTTGGTATTTTTTAAAATCCTGACTATTACATTAGTTGTGAAGGATTCTCATAGTAACAAAGTGAATCCAGACGAAGGTGGAAACAATATCCTGCAGTTCCCCATATTCTGGTGAAACAAGTAAGCAGAGCAAGTTGCAATATTGACCATAAGGACAGACGGTGTCAAGTCAAGTCGCCACTATTTATACAGCTCAGTTAAAACAACAGCTGTTGAGCCAAATGGCTTTCCTACAGAGAATAAGATTTGCTGCTTTACTTTACAATTTGCAGTTTAAATATTTAGTTATGACCCCAAATTATTCTTTATGATGTAAATTTAAGACCTTACAATAGTATGCTAAAAGCTACACAATAAACGACATGAATACAAAGTGACGACAGCTGCTATTCTACACACAGGATAAAGCTTTTCAACTCTTTTTTTAAAGCCATCAACACATTATTAAGATGTCAGAAGATCACTTAATAGATTTTTATTTTACAATGTGGTGTCACTTCTCCAACTGTTTGCTGTAGCAACGTTCCTACCCATCAACTTGTTTTGACGAGTGCGTTCTCGGTTGTTCTTGTTTCTCCCTTCATTGGAATTACAGGCGGGACAGGGTGGACCAGGAGGACCTTCAAACATACAGATAAATAGAAATCAGACACGTAAAACCGACCTAATGCACAGGACTGACACAGGGTCTTTACAATGACAACAAAAGAAGAACAGGGACGTCCCAATGTGAGCTACTCTCTAGATTCTTGGTATTATATGAAGGAATGAAACTTTAAATGTTCACTGTTTTTCTTATTTAAATACAGTGAAAGCTTCAGCAGTAAACAAATTAATGAATGTCCCAAAAATAACAGTCTTTGTTTTCATTCTTGGCTCCTCATTAGCAGTGGGACTGAACAAAACAAGCAGAAAATTTATGAGCAGTTCTTGTTTTGAGCTGGAGGATGCCTCATTGTACACCGACAGGTTATCATTAGTTCAAAACACCAAAACAAAAAAGGGGAAGCAACGAAACCACGGTGAATAATGGGGATGGTAATTGCAGGACTCTGAACCTGTAAAAACAAGATCAAACGTGAAAAACTATTCTCTGAAATGCAAAACGAAACTCATGTGAGACCAGTTTCTGCAATGACTCAGTTAATGAGTTAAAGACAAATGCTTTGTACACAAAGCGGTTTCCTGGTTCCAAACAACTGAAAATAGCGTGTAATCCAGGTGGATCAGTGCAGCAAACATTTATACCACATAACGGTAAACAGCTATAGAAAAAGTCTCCTGCAGACAGTGAGTGGGATGCTCATGTTATGCAACCATGGCTGAACAATGGAGGACTGTTTGAAACATGGGAGCGACTTCTGTTCCTGCCTTTATGTGTCGGTTCTGGTTCACTCCTCTGCACAGGGCAACTCTACGAGGATGGGTCACTAGATCAGTGAGCCATTAGAGATCTCTCACCTCTTCTTCCTCGTTTCCCCTCTGGCCCCGGTGCGCCCTTTGGTCCCGGTGAACCAGGTCTACCAGGCAAACCTGATGCACAAAATCACTCAGTTATGTAGTAAAAGAATAACTTTAAGTAACTGATGCAGCAACTGAAATGGTAGTTTATTACCTTGGGGTCCAGGTGGGCCTGGAAAAATACAACAAATGGTGTTTTAAACAAACTGCATACAGGTGTAGCACCACAAAAAAAAACTACAGAGCTGGTAGTAGAGAATATTTATGACATGCACCTGTTAAACAAACCCCTTTGGAGCTGTTACACAGATCTGTGAAGGTTTTGACCTGAAATAAAAAGAAAAACAGAAAGACAAAGGAAAGTCAGCACAAGTGCAAGTAATACGAACATTGGCAAACTTAAGAAAGCTGTCTTGAACAACTCAGAGGAAGCTGTCTAAAGTTACACACTCATTTTGAAACTGTCCCATTTTGACAGCTGTAGCAGAGTTTGCTCTCACTATCAGGAGAGAAGATTACATTCATTTCAGTTTGGTTCCTTTATTTGTGCTGAACCAGACAAGTCAAATTGTCGGTGAGTCGATTGACAGCTGTCTTTGCAAGCAAAATTCTCTTGTTCCAGCTTCTTAAATGTGTGTGTGTGCTGGTTTTCTCAGTCCTTTAAGACAGTAATTTCACTAACTTCAGGTTTGATTGGAGAAAACATGTCATTTGAACACATCGCTTTCTTCTCTGTAAACTTGCTTTGGGCATTTTCTCACTGTTTTCTGCTATTCCATAAATTAAATACTTAATCAGCCGCCATAAACTGAAGATAATGAAGATAAGTTACAGCCCCTACTCCCCCTTGAACAGTAGCAACCTCTGAAGAAGTGCCAGTTCCTAGAAGATGTGAGCACAGTGGAGGGAGGAGCAGGCAACAGTCACACTCGGCTGCTTCCAAGTATTTATCCAGGAAACGCTCGAAAACAGACTGGTCTTAATCGCTGCAACAGACTCTTGCATTCTTTGCATTACATGTGATGTGTTTGTCATCCCATAAGGGAGACGAGAGGAAATGTTTCTATTCAAGATGACAGCCAAACTGCTAATGCCTCCCCTGTTGTCTCACACAATATAGAAACAGCCATCAGAGATCCCTAAATCTGTTTTCACACTCTACAGCACACAATGAATGACATGCAGGAGTCACAATCTGACAAATTCAAGCACTTTGGTGTCTTACAGGTACCATGGAGTACGTCATAAGCATCAGCATGTCCTTCTGCTCTTGGCTTTGTGTTGGGTCTTCCTCCTGGTTCCTTCTGATGCGGTGCAGCTTCTTCAGCTCTCCGGCCTCTGCGAGGTCGGGCGGCAGGATTCCCGCCTGCAGCCTGCAGCTCTGTGACAGCTCCTGCATCTGGGACTCTAACCTGGCCAGCTCCTCTGCCAGCTCTCTCTGCCGAAGCAGCAGGAACACCAAACCTGCAGAGCTCAGGAGCAGCAGCAGCACACACATCCCCACCAGCAGCACTTTCCACACGGGAAAAACTCCACTCCTCTCTTTCATGATCGTGACTTGCTCTCTTGGTCCTCCTCTGCAAAGTGATCTGGGGATCTGAAATTCACAAGCTCATACAGCACATATCTGAACACCTGCCAACAGATGAGACGTCAGAGGGTGGCCGCGCTCGAGCTGCCGGAGAGGAATAAACATGTCAAAATCCGTCTGTAACTACAGGGGGAACCACATGATGCATTGCGCAACTGGCATCTGCGAAACAGTTAAAATCTGTGGTCTTGATTTAGAAGCAGCTAATGGACATATTTCCAGAATGACATATCCTGCAGACAGTGTAGTGCTTCTCATCATTCTGGGGCTTTTCCTCTCAATATTATCACCAGCCCTTCCTACTCAAGATTACATGGAAGTGGAATAAATAAGTCGTGAACAAGGGAAACATTGTCTGAAACCACAAAAGAGCTTTCAGAGAGCTTTCGGTAAATGGATGTGAGTGTGTGGATGGACATGTGTGGGTGTCAAAATATCCTTTTTTTTAAAAAATAAAACTGGTTTTCATGTTTATCTCAGTATGCAATTTCAAAGAGAGAATCAGTGTTTCATCACTGTTCTAAACTTGTATTAACGTTTAAGCAACAAAAAGTCCTCAACACTTCAGTTTAGTTACTTTTACAAAGAGAAAAGGGCGTTTCTTCAACCAATTTGGGATTCAAGCCTCTGAATGTGAAGCCAGTATCTTTATCCACAGCATACCAGCTATTCACAGGTAGTGAGCTTGAAGGAAAGCTCATTATAAGCACATGATCTCTGCATGAACTGTGTTTTACTTGTAAGTTTGCATGTATGATTTCTTACACTGCAGCAATACACACTGTCTTTCACATAAACAACATTTCTAAATAAACTTTAAACAACGTTTTTTTTTCATTACCTTGCATCCCTTTTTAAACTGCTGAGTAAGTCCCTGCCGTCTTTGACATGGGTCAGTCTGACCCAGCTAATTAATTTCCCCTTGAAAAGCCTCCTCGGTTGATGAATTGGGCAGTGGGGTTTCTTTCTGTGCAACAAAGCTAAACGTGAAGTAAGCTGGTCTAAAAAACCACACACACAAAAAAAGCTAGTGCAGCCAATAAGAGGCTTGCGGTTTTTGCATTTTTATGAATAATATTAAAAAATAAAACGTTTTTGTTCTGCTTGAAGCTGTTTTGTGGTTCAGATGTGCACCATTGTCTGGCCTGTTCGCTGCTTTTGCCATGTAATGGTACTTGTAACCCCAAAGTGGCAGCGTTCCTAAGCAACCAGCAAAGTGAAGGCTCAACCAAGGATTTATAAACACTTGATTCACAGTGATTTATTTTGGTGGAAGAATGTTGATCACCTTTAAAACCAGCAGAGGAAGTGCTGCGTCTCTTCAAACTGCACTCTAACGTGTCAGGAGAGGATAAGAGACGTAAGTAGCCATATTTCATCTTTTTTATTTTCAACCAAAGAAATAAAAATCAGTCAAGAACTTACTTTAAAAAAAATGCTGAAACATTTTATTAAAATAATTTTGACATTATACTCAGTTTAAAAACTGGGATATGTAGACATTTGGATGTTTTAGGACACTGTGCTTGGTGTCACATTAAGGAATAAGGAAATTTAATTATCATCCTAACTTTGTGTCCATTTGCACATTTCTATTTGGACCATTTCTGTTTTGAATGTTTATTCAAAATCATATCACATGTTGAAATGTCTTTATTTTTAGTTTTTAATCATTATTATGCACAAGTTTTCTTCAAGTATATTGGAATTAGGTGGTTCTAAACTTAAAGCAAAGTGCACTACTTTCAACTGTATCGTGATAATTACTGCTATCATTTTTAGTAAATGACCTTCAGACAATCAGTCAAGTGATTTGTGTTTTCTGATTTTGGAACCATCGATTTCCTTCTAATCCAAAAATGTTCTAAAGTTACACAATGGTATAAAAAAAATAAAATAAAATAGGAGATGCCTCCTTATGCAAACCACTGTAATAACTGTAATAACTGGCTCAATGCATGGAAAAAAAAGCTATAAATAATACTTATAAAATGCAAGAACTAAAAAGGTCAGCTCTTAGGAACTGCTGCCACAATAAAATCAGATCAGAATGATGTCTGATGCACATAAACTCTAGTGCACCTTTATCACAGTCACCTCAGTAAATCAGGTAGATCAACTTAAAGCCTAACGTGGGTGTGTTTTGGTTCTACTGTGCCTCTGTAGTACATTACATCCCAGCACTGAAGGACAGAAGGATTACAGGGGTGGAAAAGGAAGGTCTGCGCACGGCGTGAGAGGTCACCGTTTTGTTTTAACAAAAAGATGAGCTTGTGTTTTTTCCTGGCTACATGACACAGAACTTGGGTAACTAAACCCTCTCAGCAGACACAGGGAGCCCTCTCAGCTGTGTTTACCTGCCGGACACATGAAGGGGATGCTGCCGCTGGAGACGCTCACCGCGGTGGTCGATGCCCCGTCTGAGGTCACCACTTATCTGCTTCTTCTGCTGCTGTCTTTGCTGCTCTTCACCACCTGGAGACAAAAACATCACTCGCACATACCAGGTGAGAGACTTCAGCTTCTGTTGCTTCACATCGTTTTTAGAAATTGAGCCCCAAATGCAAAAATGAGGAGTAAGCAAAACAGTTTCCTTCTTTCTTAACATCATGTAAAAAATGCTTTATCATCCTCATGGGATACAGATTTTATAACACCTACATCATTATGATACTTCAGTTTTATTTCCCTGAATACATTCACTATAATTGTTTTTTTATGACTGTAAATATTGTAATGATAAAATCTTTAACACTCCTAATGGGGATATTAGAGATTTTATAAAAGGCAGGAGAAAAATAAGCATCTGCATCATAATAATAATAAAACTGATTCATTTACAAGAGGTCCTTCTTCCCTCCACATCACATGGACGTCAGAGTTTGACCTGCAAGACGCTCCAGCAAACTGAGGACAGGAAACTGAACTGAAAATGATTCAATCTTAAATGATGTCTTCTGTTCTCGATCAGGTCCTTCCTTCATGGCAGGACTTGGCCCGATTCTCTCCTACACGAGATTCATCTGGACTGGGATTGGCACAGCAAGCAACTACTACAACAACAGATATGGCAGCATTGTCCGGGTTTGGATTAACGGAGAGGAGACCATCATTCTGAGCAGGCGAGTCTTTTTTGGGGGGATAAAACTCAGTTTGTAGTAAATCTGTGACAAGATCAAGTCACAGCCCGTCTTTCTCCTGCAGGTCCTCAGCAGTCTACCATGTTTTGAAGAGCGCCCACTACACGTCCAGATTCGGGAGCAAAAAAGGGCTCGAGTGTATCGGCATGCAGGGGAGGGGCATCATTTTTAACAGTGATGTTCCTCTGTGGAGAAAAGTGAGGACATATTTTTCTAAAGGTGAGATGATCACAGAGTGTTGTGGTGTATTATTTCACGACTGAAACGCTGCATCATTAAACTACTGCACTGCTTAACACTGGTTTACAGCTCTGACGGGCCCCGGCCTCCAGAGGACTGTGGGAATCTGTGTGAGCTCCACAGCCAAACACCTGGACAGCCTGCAGGACATGACCGACCCCTCTGGACATGTGGACGCCCTCGGTCTCCTGAGAGTCATTGTGGTGGACATCTCCAACAGGCTGTTCCTCAGGGTGCCATTAAACGGTCAGCTGCATGCTTACTGTACTCACTCACACTGTAGTTTCTCACCAGTTCCTGCACTGAAGTTTTCAGCTTCTGACTGTTTTTTTTTTGTCCGTAATAACTCAAGAGAAAGACCTGCTGATGAAAATCCACAGCTACTTCGAGACCTGGCAAGCAGTTCTCATAAAGCCTGATATTTTCTTCAAGATGGGATGGCTGTACAACAAGCATAAGATGGCAGCGTAAGGCCTTCAACACATCACAGCGATTTAATGTTTGGTTTGCCAATTTTTCAGTCAAACATTTATGATTTCTTTCATGCCAACAGTCAAGAGCTGCAAGATGTGATGGAGAGTCTGCTTGAAATTAAAAGAAAGACCATTAATGAAACTGAGAAGCTGGATGATGATCTAGACTTTGCGACAGAGCTCATCTTTGCCCAAGTCAGTCTCACTGCAGAGTCACTGTCCTTATAAAACTGCATGTTTCCTGCACTCAGATGACCTTCTGTTGTGCTTCACAGAACCACGGAGAGCTTTCAGCAGATAACGTCCGGCAGTGCGTGTTGGAGATGGTGATCGCAGCCCCTGACACACTCTCCATCAGCCTCTTCTTCATGCTGATGCTGCTGAAACAGAACCCGGACGTGGAGCTGCAGATAGTGGAGGAGATGAACACTGTCCTGAGTTAGTGCAGATTCACCATGTTGTAATAATGGCCGTTTCACTCTGGCAGGCATTCTAACAAATGATTCATTTCCAGGTGAAAAAGCTGTAGAAAAGATTGATTATCAACGTCTGATAGTGCTGGAGAGCTTCATCAACGAGTCTATGAGGTTCCATCCTGTGGTTGATTTCACCATGAGGAAAGCTCTGGAAGACGACAACATCGAAGGCACCAAAATCAGGAAAGGAACCAACATCATTCTCAACATCGGTCTCATGCATAAAACTGAATTCTTCCCAAAACCCACAGAGTTCAGCCTGATGAACTTTGAAAAAACAGTGAGTCACTTGAATGCTGTTCAACGATATGTGACTCTGGAGAAAAAAAAAAAAAAACAACAACCACAACACCTCAGTTTTCTTTCTGTCTGGCAGGTGCCCAGTCGTTTCTTCCAGCCCTTCGGCTGCGGGCCTCGCTCCTGCGTGGGCAAACACATCGCCATGGTGATGATGAAGGCCATCTTGGTCACCCTGTTGTCTCGTTACACCGTGTGTCCTCGCCAAGGCTGCACCCTTGACAGCATCAGGCAGACCAACAACCTGTCCCAGCACCCTGTGGAGGACGAGCACAGCCTGGCCATGCGCTTCATCCCTCGATCAACACAACCTCAGTGCAGTCAGCTCTGAAACATGAGGGGGCTTTTTTTTACATTTTGGCTGAAAATATTTTAGTATTGCATATGTTGAAGTGAGCAACTGCTAAAATGAAGGTGTCAGACATGCTTGACTGCAGATATTCCCCAGTCAAGAAAAAAATCCTCTTGTATTATGGACTAACATAAATAGGAAATTTGTAATAACACGACATGTTTTGCTGACTTTGACACGACTAACTTTAAACAAATACGGTTGAAGGTTCAAGCTGATAGAGAGCAGAGCAAGTGCAGTTCTCTGATCTATTTCATACGATGTAGGAGCCCAAGAAGGACATTCTGCTTTGTTGTGTCTACATCAAAAAATAATAATCATGACCACAGGAATCGTAATAGAGTCATGACGTCCCTCCCCATTTGGTTTCTTCAGCATTCACATCTCGAGTCAAGTGAGTCTCGAGTTGATAAGTTATATGAGTTGGGAGGAATAAATACCTGGGACTCCCCACCTGTCAGTCAGAACTGAAGAAGCCTCTTGGATGAGAGATAAAACGTCTTCGTAAAACAAACAAAAAAAGTCCAGTTGCTTCCTGTTGAAGCTACAATGACCTGGATGACTTTGAATCTACACAGATAACAGACATGATGAAAACAGCAGACACACGCATGTCTTACGGTAGTGCCTTAGAGTAACAACAAAGCAGTTAAAAATACAATAAAATATTAGAGAAGACATTATAAAATATTGTACAATTCCCTGAATGTGCAGATAAATCAGTTAAATCATTGTTTTAAGCCTGGACCATAGATTTATTAATGGATCCTCTGATCTGAAGAGGTTCAGAAGAGCAACAGTTCTGAGATGTCGAGTGAAGACAGACCATGCAGAGATTTAAAGGCAATCAACACAATCTTGAATTGAATTTGATAACAAATAGCGAGGCAGAGTAATTCAGTGTGGACCGGAATACTGTGTTCCCTGCATCTAGTCATTCTGAAAATCTTGCTGTGGCATTTTGAACCGACTGGAAAATGTTGCATTGTTTAGGAAAGTGAGAAAGAGAGAAAACAAGAGTGTGAGTGAGTTTTTTCATTAAATTTTGAGGAGCATTGGTCTGACTTTGGAAATATTTACAATTTACAAAAAGCAGGTTTATACAAGAGTCCTAAAGTGCTGATGCATTGATCAAAATCAGCTTCAAGTTCGCAGCTGATGTGGAACGAGAACAACAGCTACAGGACATGATGGTCTCTGCCAGTAAAGACACCGTTAAAGCATTATGTACTACAGAATGTGCCGGCTCAGTGAGACGACTGTTACGGCAGCAGAAATGACTCATAACAGCACAATAATAATGTGTCACATGAATCATTTGCTGTGTGTACAGTCTGTTTGTGCTGTACCTTGGTAGTTATTATATATTTTTTATTAAATTAGCAGTTTGGTACAGTGAGCAGAGCTAGCAAATAATTTCAGCAAACAGTGGAATGTAATAAATTAATGTGATACCTGCTGAAAAGGTTTGTGTTAAGGATGATGAGAATGTTCATTAGAGAAGGTGATAATTTCTTTATAGGCTCTAAGAAATGTGTGCTTGAAGTAAATAAAGCTCATTCAATAAGTACTCTGGAAACAATTATGTAGAATAATGTAAGAGGAAAGAACACCAGGAGCTGTTTTATAAGTTCTATTGTCATATTATTGCTCCTTGTTTCACATTTACCACATGTGGTTATTAGTATTTAAAGACCTATATAATGGCCTCTGCTGAATGAATAATTAGTGAGTCAGAAGGAGGCTAATTTACATGGGTTGAATTTATTCATAATTTAGCAGAATGTAGTGACAGGCACTCAAAGAAACAAAGACTTTTTTCTGTACCACAGGCACAAATCAAACACGCCATCTTGGCATTAGAACATAAGGCGTCGGGTTAAGGTTGAGTTTTTGAGACATTACGCTGTGCTTCAAATCAGGAGACAGCCAGCGAGCTTTCCCTTCAAGCTGAATTTAAAGAAAATAAAAAAGAAAGAAACAGGCTGAAACATGTCACACACACACTGAAAATCAATCTGGCACAGAGCAATCAAACAGCACATGAACCACGATGATTCTTTTTTTTTCTTCCAGTGAAATGAATATAAAACGTTTTCTGTAAGAATATAAACTCAATAAATATGATTTTAATACTGCATCGATATAAAAATATAATAGTCAAAGACCACTAAAATCCACCTCCGACCAAACTGACTAACCAGAGACATAAGTGCATAGAATAATCCCACCATCCAGAAGGCAACATCTGCTAAACATCATCATACTGATACATGAACAATACAGAGTGAGATCATCACTGCTATATTTAAGACAAAATACTCACATTATAGATGTAAGAAATAAACAAGGGGGGCGTTAATGTCAGCATAATGCAAGCTTTTAGACACAGTAGAATGTAAACCTCTCTTTGCTGTGATGACTAACAGGTCGCTCTTGGAAAGCAGCCTTCTGTAAATATTAACTGACTTTGAAGACTGTATTTACTTTGAGCATTTTATCCCTAAGACAACCAAGTAAATACCAGAAGTAATTAACATCATTTAGTTTCCCCGTCATTAACTTCCACCTTGAGCTGCTGCCAATATATTCCTGTGTTTTTCTCCCAAAGAGCAAAACATCAAAGAAATACAATCAGTCAGTGTAAGAATGTGTGATTTCATTGACTCAAGCAGCTAAATCTATGTTGTAATGTTTTAGTCTGACGCAGGGCTGAGCAATTTTGATCAAACTTATTTGAAAAACATTAACAAGAATATTTTCTACCACACCTTATAATACGGAAAATGTATGTTTAAAAAAAAATCATCAAGTCAGTGTCATTGTTATGCATCAGATGCAGTCAGTCGCCTCAAAGGTTTCTAAACAAAAAAAAACTGTTTCTTCAGTGTTGCTTGTACATCATCACGATTCTGCTGAAAGTTAAAAAAGAATAATATTGATTTACTGTTCAGCCCTTGTCCCAGCATTGAAATCCAAATGAGCTTCGCTGTCATGATTGTTCTAGTCAAGAAAAAATGTAGCTGATTATAAATTACAAATTAAAAGCAGAACATTTTATAATTTCTTAGTTTGCAGATCTGGACCACAGGATGAAGAAACTGTTGAAATGTATTATTTCACCCTCTGAGATTACTTTAAAGGGAACTTACTATGCTCTTCCTTATTTTCAGTCATATATTCAATATTATAGTGTTGGATGCTGACATTAAAGGTTTGAAATAATGAGGTAAAACAGATGTAATCTCTATGAACCAAAAACTCTGCTTTATAACTGCTCTGAACACCAGGTTCCCAACAGATTTTTCTTGTTATGAGCTGACCTCGTCTTGGATATTTTTTAACACCCTCATCTGCTACATGCCCACAAAGGTAGGCTTCTGGAAGTTGGCCAATCAGAAGAAAGCAGGCGTTAAAAGAGCTCGGCCTCAAGGGTGAACTGACAAGTTGCATCAAGGGGCAGTATAAGATAAATATGGATTTTTTTAAAACTATGGATTATGCAAAACTACTCTAGCAGAGTCCCAGAATAACAATATAGAGCTGGAATATAGAGCATAGCAGGTCATCTTTAAAGGGGAATCAAACAAAGTGTACCACAATCATTTAACCCAGAAACAATGCTTCAGCCATTCAGTCACTATGGAGACCTGTCATCACTTTAAGACAATAGTGTTATTCTGGATCACCCACAGAAGGTCAACCACGCTGTCTTTTGGCCCTGAGCTTATTACTTGCCAGTACTTTCGATGACTTTCAATAAAACTGTTCTACCGATTTGACTTTTAAACAACAACAGAACTCATACATGTAAAACCTACAAAATAACTTATAGTGGAAGAGACAACGAAATATCAAACACTGTAAAGTGGAGACATGAGTTCACGACATCAGTTGTCTCCTGTTCCGTCCTGCACTACAGCTCTGTGTACCTTCCTCCTCGGCAGTCGAGGGTTCGGTGGTTTAGTTGCTCAGTGTTGCAGCTGGGGCTCAGTGTCCCTGTAAAGCTCTCTGACAGTGGTAGATCAGGCAGTCGGGCAGGTCGGGGATCGGAGAGCGCAGCCACACCGCCAGCGTGCCGGCATGGACGCGACAGTGCATCAGACATGGCTGATCCTGGAGGACGCGGCAAGCTACAATACCTTCCATACCTGAGGGACAAAAGATGAAGGTGACTCACTGTATGCGAGAAAAACATGGGAAGGGCAGAGGTGGCATTTAACAAATATTGATCGTACAGTGGAACATGGCACCTTCCTCTGAATTTTAAAATCTACAGATCTGTTGCATTACCTCTGACAATGTTTGTTAGTGCTGCTCCTTTAAAATATACAAATTATTGTTAATAAAACTCCTTTATAGGGCGTTTAAAGAACAAGAACACATCTCGGTGACTCCTAACGCCATTATTTAGTAAAGTCTTAATACTTTTTGTATCTTTTAAGGTACTGCTTATATATCTATACTTATTTATTAATGTATTTATTACAAAAACTACAGGCTTTGTTTTAGTTTACAGACTTTAAATGTTTTCAAGCTGCAATAATTAACTGTATTTTTATTTAATTTCTATCAAATTATCCAGATAGCAAGCTGCTACATACGAAGAGACGAATAGCTGCACTGCTAATTTTCTGCATTAATAAATTACAACATATCCCCAAAGTTTCAAGCAACATAAGTGAAAAATGTATGAAGTAAGTCATCTCACAAGACAGTCTTCACACAGTCCACCTGTTTTTTTTTCAGTAGCTTTCAGCTCCACCTCATGGTCTGTGTTAAAGCAACTCTGTAAAGCTGTTACTTCTAAGGTCAACAGTAAACTCTCATACTTCACCCCTGAACAAAGTAGCTACCGCAAATACATAAACCTGAGGATTCTAACACATAACATCTAAATTCAAGTGCTTTTTATCATATAAATTAAGCATCAACTCAAAACCTCTATTTTACAAATCAAAAGCTCAACTTTGGTGCTTCAGTCAACAAGGTTGAGGTCATTGACAAAACTGAGTTTGAGCAGGAAACAAATGTCTGTTCACCTATAATTTCCACGACGTGAAGCTGCAGTTTCCTCTTCAGCACATTCAGAGTGGCTGTCAGCGGCTCTTGGCTGTCGCTTATCAGGGTCAGATTCTGCTTCGTGTCATGAGAGAAGGCCAACCACATCGTCCCGTATTCCTCTGTGGACACCGTCAAGGGTCTGCAGCAAACATATGAACTCAATGAACTGAAGATCGCAATGATGCCACATTTGAAACAAAAGCATTAATATCTCACCTGATGAAGCTGGTTAAAGGGAGTTTGTATGAGAATTGCGCTGACTGAGACGTCCCATTGGCTAACTGGTACGACACCATCCCGACCACTTCTATGTGAACTGCAGGTCTCTTCACTGTCAGAGAATACTGACACACTGTTACACTGTGGCTGCTCACCTCCTCCACTGGACTGTCACACACGCAGGACACCTGGAAAAAGACGACACCCTTATTATGAAAGACTGATGGATCTTATTTGACTTCACTGGCCATTTTCTATTAAATAAATTACCTCAAGTTCTTCAGAGTCGACCTGCACTAGTATCTGCTGAGCGGCAGAGTCAGAGGAGTTGGTAATAAAAACAACAAGCAGTAAGGAATCTTCTTTCTGCACATGACAAGCAGAGAGCTCCAGGCTTTGGTTGGTGCAGAGGTGAGAAATTTCTGAGTGAGAAAGTCCAGAAAGCTCTGCAGGAAGATGAGAAGTGAGACACAAGTCCTTAGGTCTGTCTGGGGCTTCGTGTGGAGCAGGATCAGTAGCTACCACACTATTATCCCTGATGACAGCAGGTTCACTTTCCTTAATGTCACTGTCGGGTAACTCTGCCTCTGTATCACAGGTGCCATTAGTAGTAGTGAGGCCGGGAGAGGGCTGAGATGTCAGTTCAGGTGAAGAAAGAGCCAGTTCTGAGGTGATGTTGGAGTCCAGTAGATTGTTACACAGTAAGTTATCCACAGCGCTGTGAGGAGAGACCACAGAGTTGGATATTTGCTCGCTGGGGCTGGAGGCTGTGCTGTGACCTTTGGCTTTTCTTCTGAATCGCTGGGCTGTCGGTTCAGATTTTCCCATCTGTGAGAAGAGGGGAAAAATAGTACGTTGTAGCATGCACATTTTTACAGCAGTGCATTAGGGTTATTGCATATATTTAAAAAATAATAATAATGGAGTTGGGAAAAGTGGTGACTTTCCAAGGAAAAAAAAATCAAAGATTAAAGGCACTAATTTACAAGAATCACTCATAAAAATAGTGTTTCTTTCTATCACGCTGTCATCTATTCATCCAGTTGTAATTTCGGATGCACAGAAGCTGTAAAATAATCCGGATCAGTATGCTGTGTTCTTCTGAACTGCCCAGTTCAAGGTCTCCCCAAAATCTGGAAGCTTATGGGAATACGGTGATTCAGCCCTAAAATCCCACATATTGTCTGTTTACTAAAACCAGTTGCAAAAAATAATTTGATTAGGTCATCAAAAGCAGGCATAATACACAGCGCGTACTGGTATTTGTGGTATGACGACGTTGATCTCTAACACTGCTAAAAAAAAAAAAACTGATGTGATTTCTTGATTAAAAAATGTATTAATTTTTCTTGTAAATGTATGATTTTATAATCTTACAGAATATCCAATTCTGATATCTGAATTCAGTTTTTTTTTTTTAAATGTCAGAGAACATACAAATTTTTAATGTGGTTAATTAATTTAATAGATTTTTTTTATTACCCACAATGCCTATATAATATCCCTCTAAATATTTGTGGTAATGTATGGCATTTTATATTTTTAGTTGTTTAAAAAGAGGATTTTTTACAATAAACACTGCAAAGGTGAGCAATATCACATTCAATGGCTATGACTCATTGCACCAATGTACTACTAGCTATTTAGATTGACAGTCAATTCGAAGACATCAGCTGAGGCTTTACCAAGTTATGAAACAATGTGAGATTTTTTTTAAAGATCACGTAATTCACCAAGAAAATAACTGGCAGATTGATGATCAGAAAATAAACAAAGTAAACATTTTTTGCAGCATTAACACTGTTCTGTTCATTACAAACATTTTCAAATCTGTTAATTTCTCCCTTTAAATGTGTCAAACTTAACTATCAAAATACAAACAGATTAACATATTAAAGACTAATTCAGCAGGTTCATGTAAGTCACATGCCTGCAGTTAATGACTTTTGGTTGCTAAATAAAAGGTGCTTAAATGTTTATTTAATCTCATGATGAAACTCCAATAAAAACAAATGTATCAAAACTGACAAGTAAAAACCAACAAGCTCACCAGACACACAGAGCTTTGGGAGCCCAGGCCAACAAAAAGCGAAGAGGCCAGCTGCTGCTTCTCTTGATCGGACTCTGGTGTCGGTGTCGGAGTTGGAGTCTGGCTGTGGGAGCTGTCGGCTTCGCCCTGCTGGCTGGGAGACCGGAGGGGACTGGGAACCTCAACCTGGGCAGGTTCTTCTACAGGCTCTTTCTGGGACAGATAACCTTCCCTGCCCCACACTCTCTTCACACCATCCAGCTTCAGAGTTGCAGAACTGAAACAGTAACAGCAAATCACCCGTGAGGGTTTCAAACCATAAACAAGAACCTAATTTTGCCAGCAGATGTATGTCGAGCCCACATACCCTCCTTTGTGTGAGAGGTCAGTGCTATCGCCTGACAGACCAGAGCTCATGGACAACAATGTGGGAGACTGTCTGTCAGTGATGCTGCAGGAGGACATGCTGATAGGCAGGGACAGGCCGTAGGGCTCCAGGCTCAGTGCTGAGGCAGACAGCAAAGTCAGAACATATCCAAACAAGGCAGTGAACATGTTGCCAAGTTGTCTCATGAGTTTTACCTTTTGTTCCAGCTAGTTCCTCTTGTCGTTGATGGGGAGGCTTGTATGGAGCAGCACCAGCAGCCAACGCCTCCGACACAAATCCATCCAAAAATGACAGAGAAGAATCCACCTGGAGCCCAACAAAATGACAACCGCATGTTAAACTTCTGCTTTAATGAGGCCTGAAAAGTAGAACAGGATTCACAAAGTAGAGATGTCATGCTTGAGTGCTTGCTTATTTTTACACTTTGTTTAGCCACAAAAGACAAGCAATCAGAAGAATCACTGTATTTCGTACAACATTCATGTTCTATAATTGACTCACACATTCAATAACGGGTTGTGATAAACCAGAACCCATAAAACTGCTCCAGACATGCTGCAACAGCTGCTCAGATTATGGCTGAATCGGTTATTCCTGTTGTTTTGGTAAATCCCGTCATCAATCTAACCAGTTTTGCACCATAAAAGGCAAGTTCATGCAGGTTCTTATAACCGTCAGTTAACGGCAGCAAACAAGTTAATGTTTTAATGTTACCAATTGATCCAGTTTTTATGAAGAGAAACTATCAACAGCATTGCAATCACAGCACACTGTACATTAAAAACATCTTTATTGCTGTCCAGTAGTCGTAAAAACATGCTACCTCCACGGGCTCCAGGCCGGCACCCCGAGGTAACACCCTGGCTCGTAGTTCAGAGTCTTGGCTGAGGTACTGCAGCTCCTGAGCTCTTTGTCTCAGCACCGTGTCCAGGGAGCTGCTGTACGTTTCAGACACCTGCTGAGCCACAGAAACACCCGAACCACCTTCACAGAGCTTCGTCATTGCCGTGAGGACCCAGCTCTTTGTTTCACTGCTGCAGTTCTTCATGTCCAGCAGCCTGGCCAGCAGCCTCAGGACCACGGCTGCTTCAAGATCCTCCCTCAAATGAGAGTACTCCCCGAGGACCTGAGCGCAGCAGAGAGAAACCAAAACTTTAGTGCATAACAAAGTTCTGTCTTGCTTCTTACAACAACAAATAATTTTAAGATGTTTTCTTCTGCCATAGATTTAGGAACTGTTATATTACTACTGTATCTCATCTTGCCTCAAACTACTGCAACCTCCTTTGGGGACACTTAAGTCAGCAGTACCGGATTCCTAAAAACAAATCAGTGTCTACTGTCTTACTACCAATTGCACATGTCAACTGGCTGTGACCAGTTAAACTAAAAAGTGTCTTTTTCTGTTCTGAAATTTAGGCCTGAAGTGGTAAAAATACTCAGACAATTCAAGATAATAAAAGGAAATGATCTGAAGACAAATACACATCATTTTGTGCAGCAGAAATATGCTTCTTGTTTGGTTCCTGTCTTGTTTATCAGCCTTTGACCTCTCCTCGACTCGTACCCAGCAGTCAAACGTACACTAATTCATCTTCAAAATTGCTATTATATGATTTTTACAGTGTCAAGCTAAGACATATTAAATTGGCTGTTTTTATTGGTCATATTTACTGCAGCTACACCCCAGACCTCTTGAGTCCCTGTGAGCAAATTGGATCAACTCAGCCAGATTCAGCTTTTATATTCTGGATCTGTAAACAATGAAAACACTTTTAAATCACTGTTGTTTCTTGAAGGGCTTGCTTTTATTTTTCTCTAGTTATTCTTATTACGATTCAAAGTATTTTGTATTTTCATATCCTCCTCTATTTTAAGCCTGCAATTTATTCAAAGAAACAGGTAGGAAATGCTTTAAAACAGGCACTGCATTCCTTATAAACACTGTGTTCTTCGGCTCTCATTTATATCAATATTACATAAGAATGACACCAACCATTCATTATGCTCAGCGTACTAACAGCACTCACCCAGCTGATGACTTGGAGGAAGCGCTGTGGCAGTTTGCCAGGCGTTCCTTGCAGCAGAGAAATGTATGAATTCACAGCAAACAGCCTCAACTTTCTGTCCTCCTCCACACTGTCAAATCCTGGGCAGTAAAGAGAAATTAACCATTATAAAATTGAAATCTATTATCTAAATGGAACATCATAAAAGGTTAAGTAAACAGTGAGGTTATCTCACCCTCAGACAGCAGTTTGAGGAAACTGTTCGGGATGTCAGGCTGCATCATGTCTCCGCCGACTGAAAACACCGTGTTCATCGTCTCAATGAACCATTCATTGTCTGGTGCATATGTATCATGGCTTATAGGAAAAAAAGAACAATACTACAACAGCAAAAAAAGACCCAAATGAGGTATGACAAGCACAGCAAAATGTTATGATAAGATTGAATTTGTGTTTTTTTTAGCCCACAACTCATTTAAATGTTGTGCTTTATACTTCCTGCGGGGGTTTTCGGTTCCTTCCCACTGTTGCAGACTGCTTGCGGACTGCTGAAGCTTATAGGGAATCCAAATGTTTTGGATTGTTGGGTGTTTCTGTTTCTGTCTCTGCCTTTGTTAAGCGCTATGAGATGACTTGTTGTTGTAAATATGCGCTATACAAATAAAATTGAATTGAATTGAATTGAATTGAACTTCAACTAGTTAATTTTAGTACTGAGATACAGAGAATCAGCAGCAGCGTACTGGGCTTCCATGAGAGCCATAAATGAGATAACATTCACAAATGTTCCACTTATAAAAAAATAGCACAGAAAATTTGTTGGGATTTATAGATTTCTGAATTCTACCTGTACCAAAATCAGGAATTTGAGAAAAATCATTCTTTATATATAAGCAGATCAGCAAAATGTATCCTGATGTTTTTAAGGAGTGGACAATTATGCATTTAGGTATTTGTGTGGTAGCTGATTCAAAGAAGTACAGAAAGTTCCAACAAATGTACTCATTCACAATCAAGATGAAATTATACACAATAGGTCATCAATAGATACATTGTGATAGGATCTGGATGAAAAACAAGTAGAATTTGTTTTTTAAAATCTATGAATCAATTCCAGCCGACAGTCCAGTTACTAAATGACTGTTATTTCAATACAAATACCAGCATATGTGTGTAACTGTGGTTATTTTCTGTGAGCAGTAGTTTTACAGGTGCATTGGGCCCACTAGAGGTAAATGAAAGAAAAACTTAACAAACAGCACTATCACACTTGGAAGGATATTTTTCTGCCAGCTCTGCTACCTTCCCCACCAGGTCAATAGTAGTATGATCATCTCCACTGATGCGCAGAAACTCCAGCATCTTCTCGACAATGACCGTGACATTCTGGGCATTAGTGATCCGAAACAGCAACTCCAGCGTCTACAGGAAAAAAAAAAGAAGACGACTCACAATGCAGCAACCGATGTTTCCACAACGCCTCAACTCAGACAACACCAGAATCCGCCTCACCTCCCGCTTGATAATGAGGTCAGGATGATCAAGACACTCTATGATGGTCATCTGATGCTGCAGGGCCAGTTTAGGGTCCTGCTGGACTACGTAGGTGAGGGCCTTCAGTCCTGCAGGGACACCACATACAAAGAGTTTGTGCTGATTTCCAGTGGAGAGAAATTATAAACGATGAATCATGTTTTCTGTGGCTCCTACCTAGATATTTTAGATTGATCTTCGGTGACAGAACAAAGTTTCCAATGCACTTTGCAGCTTTTTCCAAAAGGTCAGATTTTGGATGAATTGTGTAAATACATTTTACACACTCGTACAAAATTGCTGTAAATACAGACAGATGTATGTAAGTGGCAAAAGAAACTACTTAAATGAATGCAAACAAATACGCCTATTTAAAACACTAAGTATAGATTTGACATACCATAGGTGATGTTATGGTTCATCTCTGCTCTTCGTAAAGACTCATCGAGGACTTCGTGCATAATCTCACTCGTACTGTGAAGACAGAAAAGACACAAAATCTATTTGCAAGACATGATATGTTGGACATACAGTTCATCTGAAGACAAAACAAGTACTATTTACCTCTGGTCATTTTTCCCAAGTAAGGAGAGTATTCTGAGAAGCTGGATTTGAAGCCATGGAGCGGGAACACTGTGATAATTAAAATCCATGGGCAGCTTTCCTCCCACCACCTGCTTCAATATGGTGACAAAACTTGCTGTCAGGTCCTTATAACCTTCTGGATTCTCCTGTAACAAAGTGAAAACAAAAGTCAAAGGAGCAAGATACACCACCATGACAAAAAATTTTACTTGATTTACAATGATGAGATTCCAGAGTCAATAAAACAAGTTACCTGGATCAACTGTAGGTAGATGTGCAGAGAAGCGGTCATCACACCAGGATCCTTATCACACAGAGCTTTGCGAAACTTGTTGTGGATGTGTTGAACTTGATTTGGTGCTATTAGGTAGAATTTATAGAGTGCCAGGACTGCTTTTCGTCGAATGATTTCTCTACAAGTTTGTTATTTAAAAAAAAAAAATCTATCAGTGATAATACTCAAGCAGATTCTTCATGTTTCATTAGACAATATGAAGAAATACACATAAATACACACAGGTAAGTGGTTGATCCCACAAGCATTTCTTACTTTGGGTGATTAAGTTTTTCCTCCACCAGAGGGAGAATCGCAGGTATCATGTCTTTGGGGAACATTTGGCTGACGACTGTTAGAGCCATGCACACTTCAATAAGATTTGTACTCTGAAGATCCTGCAAAAACAAAAGACATCAGCATCATATTGTCTCTTTCAGAAATCAAATGACTAAAGCTGTAAAAGTTTAACACCCACCTTTAACACTGTGTTAACCAGGAGAAGAAGCAGCTCGTGACTTTCATTCAGAAACAAGGAAACAGCGAGGTAACCTGAAAATCATAAACAAACGTATTTTTTGCTCAAAGCAGAGAGATTGTGTCATATGTTTCAGCAATAAAATTATGGTTCCAAATTAAAATAGACTCTAGGAAACTTACTCTAGTTTGAAGCTTTGAAAGTTTAACATTTGTCTTACGTCGTAGTGCTTAAATCCTACAAATAATATGGTATTAAATGAGTGTTCAAATGAGGAAAGCGTCGAAGAAGGCTTAGCTTCTTAAAAAAATGACCAGGATTCTCCAGGAAACAATAACGTACGATGACTGAGAGGGACATATATTTCTATTTATTATGTTTTATTGCCAATTTTCATGTGTTGATCTAAGTACGTTTCCATATCTTTTAAAAATGAATTGAATTTGGTGTCAGATCAGCAGTTCTCAACAACCAGCTGGAGCCCACCTCCAGACAGCACATTCAGTTCTGCAGCCTCACTCTCATCTCATCAACACCCTGCCACAGCAATTTTTCCAAACAATGACAAATTAATTATGAAACAAATTGGTTGTAAAACTGGAAATATGCCAAGATCTGTCACGAAGTGCTGAGCTTTATATTGTTTCTAGTAAAATTTGGGGCTGCAAGGTGGTGCAGTTGGTAGCACTGTTGCCTCGCAGCAAGAAGGTCGCCGGTTCACATCTGGGGGCACCGGGATCTTCCTGCGTGGAGTTTGCATGTTCTCCCCGTGCAGCGTGGGTTCTCTCCGGGTTCTCCGGCTTCCTCCCACAAGGTCCAAAAACATGTTGAGGTTAATTGGTGATTCTAAATTGTCCGTAGGTGTGAATGTGAGTGTGCTTGGTTGTCTGTTTCTAAGTGTAGCCCTGTGATGGACTGGTGACCTGTCCAGGGTGTCCCCTGCCTTCACCCTAAGTCAGCTGGGATAGGCTCCAGCCCCCCATGACCCTAATGAGGATTAAGCGGTGTATAGATAATGGATGGATGGATAGTAAAATTTGCAATTAGAGGCTCAATGAAGCATTTTCTCCCTTCTGAACTGGTCAATGATTCTGACAGGTTTATACCACCTTCCTGATCAGCTGCTACTTATGGACTTTGTATAGATCAAAGTATTAATGCTTTTTAATACCAGTTGGTGAGAAATAAGCCAATTAGAAAACAACATACCCACTCTCTTTTCCAGAACCGTGCCTTGTTGAGCCAGTTTAATGGCATGAATGTAGCTGAACGAAGCCTCATAGCCCAACATTTCACAGTAGATCGTTCTCACCATGAGCTCCTTCATCTGCCTCTGAATCAGATTATAACACAAGGAACACATCAGTCATGGCAGGCATCACTGGATCTGTTTGAATAATGTGGTGTCTTTTGCAAGATCAAATGGAAAAACCAGGAAAACTGTACCATGGTGGTGTTGGGGGAAGACACCTGTTCTTTGATAGACGATAGCTCACGCTGGATAAGTTTCTCTTCTTCCTGCAGAGGGGGAATCAAAGTTAAGGACAACAAGATCAAACACTGAGGAACTGCCCACTAAAGCATGCCCTAACTTGTTCTGTTTGCTGTCATTGATCAGCCCAGCTATCTACAGATCAAGCAGACATTGAGGGCAACAGTGACTATGCTTAGCTCTAGTGTGTTTGCATGGAATAAGTAGATACAAGCTACTGTGCATGTATGCAATCAAGTTCACCAAGCACACTGCCACAGACTAGTCCGCATATCCAGACCATCCTCTAGTATGGATACAGTCCTGTGTAGAATGGTCTGGTTGCACCTCATCATCATCATCTGCTTTGGAGGGCAAAAGCTCAGCCATGTTTGCATTTCTTTAAAGCTATCAAAACTGTCTTGGGCAGAGCTAAGAACAGGATGCTGCGACAATGTTTACACAAACTAGTGATGGGGGAATTGTTTGGGTGGAACATTTGCATGCAGAGAGGCAAAATGGCTAATCCATCAAAAACAACCCCTACCTATTATGTGAGTCAAGTATTTGACCAAACTTGTAATTTTCAGTGTTGTAGGTTGCTGGCCTGGAGGTTGTTGTTGTTTTCCTGCAGTGATGTGGACTTTGGAAATTGAAACACATAGATAGTGGAAGGGAAGCAGAAGGCCGCATGAAATATGCGGTCAATGGCAGGTTTATACCCCCTGCCTACATCCGGTGGGTCAGACTACCAGCAGACTAGTAAAGTAGTATAATTACAACAACTGTTCACAACTGGAGTATAATCACGGCTTCAGAACCAGGAACTGATTCAGCAAAAGAAAGACACAGAAAGTCCCGATCTGAAAGTTGACAGGATTGGTTCCTGAAAAGTGTTAAAAATGAAACCCTTCAAGTCCAAATCTGTATTCCTGAGCCTGTCATCTGTATGCTGCAGCTTTAGGGTGGAAATGCTCAACCATGGCATTCATTCACTCATGATGTGCCTTCCAAAAGGTACAAAATTAATTTTCTTTGTAGGGGGGTCTTTAAAAAAAACTGTTTGTTTACATTTAAGACAATTAGCATCTTTGAACCCTGATGAACAGTAACAAGAATTAGAAGCTTCCAGCTCTGACTGGAAAACACAGTGAGAGCAAAGCTGCTGACTGCAACATCTGAAATGTCTGAGCTTCAACAAGCTCATGAACGCACCAGCAAGGGCAAGTTTATAAACCAGTCCCAGCTCTACCTTCACTGGTTTTACCACAGGATAATGAGATAGCACAAACGTGGAGCTGTCTGTAAACCAGTCTACGTTAGCACAGTAAAGTTCTATGTGTAGTTAGCGGGTTACAAACACATCTTTTTACGAGTTAGCTTAGCAAGCTAACGTCAGAGCATATCACCAACAGTTGACAATGCAGACACTTATTATACGTTTACTAAGGTTTTCAAGGAAAGACTCACATGTTTGGAGGTTAGTTCAGTGATTCCTCTGATAAGGTTTCCTAGTTTGGAGGTGGAGGACAGCTTCGCGGAGCCCGGCTGGGAGTCTAAAGAGAGGAGGCTCGGCAGAGCTGTCAGCGTCTTCTCCACAACATCGCTCATTTTGGCAGCGGACAGCGGGCTTTAGGGCTGTGTCTTTCTTCCTCAACACACTTATAAGATCACCTATCCATCACAACAACAGTGTGTTATACAGAGACAGCAAAGGCTACTTGTTAGACACTTAAAAAGATGACAGGAGGTGAAGCAGCAGCTCGCAGGTCGGCCATTGTTTTGAATCAGCAGGCTGAGCAGAGCCTGCTGATGACGTCACTCCCGCCTCTATTGAAAAAACTTTATTGACAACCTTCGACATTCAGTGTTTGGTGAAGTTAAGCAGCTCAGTATGTTGACAAGAAAATAACTACAAAACATTTTTAAAAAATGAAAGACACAGTAGTGATATTCCAAACTCAGTTTATTATGTTTGTAATACTTTGATTAACAGTCCCTTGTATATCTGTACACTAAACTACAATAGAATAATTACAGTAAATATGAAATTACAGCCATTGACAACTGCATGAAAAGGAGTACATTCTGATATATTTTTTTTCTATGTATTTGTATTTAGGTATCTAGTGGGGGACCACAAGTTCAGGGTGTCTCTCGTGACTGAATGTGCACATTAATAGTAAGTGGTTTCCACAGGCTGGAAACAAACAAAGATGAGAGGTAAACCATATTTTCAGACCACATAGATGGAACATCAACATCATACATTTTAGGTTTACCTGTGAATGTGCTTTCTTTATGTCAGTGTAATATTGGCAGGTGAGTAGCTTTCAAGAGAGGACTTGTTGGGTGCACAGGGTGTTGAATATTAGTTTAATCTTTATCTATAACAAACTGCAAATTTGCTCTTTTGTCTATAATAGTTTATCCCAATGCTCCTTCATATCTAATATCATCTTTAGCTGGCTTCACACTAAATAATATAGTTTCACTTTTTCCAAGCCAATCTAATTTATCCTCATTATTATCACGTATATTCCAACATTTCTCATGCAGAGAGAAGACACCCAAATCCTCAGCCCTTTTCTCAGTCTCATAAAACAGAAGTTTTCTTCATTAAATAGCATTTCTCCATTATAATATGTGTAAAAAAAAAAAATAAATACAACAAATAAATAAACAAGTGATGTCCTTTATGTGGGCACATACAATACATGACTTTATTGTGTCACTTCTATCCTAGACTGATGCAAGTCACTACCAACAATATTTTCTACAATATACTTTTTACACTGTAACCATAATTACTTCTGTGCAAGCGTGCCATTTGGTTTAATCACTCTTTGAAATATGTAAACCTACCCTGGCCAAGAGACGGGAGTATATACACTGCTATTGATATGCTCTATGTACAACCAAAACTGAGTCTCTATTTGTGTGATTGTACTCTAGCAAACAGAAACATCAGCGTGTCTTCACCAGGTCTGTCTACTATTTGATCCTTTTGTGTCTTGATGCTTAAGCCCAGATCTGGGAACAAAGAAAAGAAAGATCAGACATTACATGATGTCACAAGAACGGGCACTGAAGTTTGCAAAGCTGTCAATCCAGACAGTAACAGCGAACATCTCCTACCCGAAGAGTGTGGTCCCAGGAACCTGTGCAGAAGGCCGTTCCATCCGGGGAAACACGCAGCGTGCTGACACGGTTCTCGTGTCCAAACAGAATAGAGACTCGTGTTCCTTTGAGAACGTCCCAAACATTTATGGTGTAGTCGTTGTAGCCACCAAACAGTAGCCGGCCTGGGAAAAAAACACACACAAATGTTTTTTAACACTCAGGAGGAATTACATTTTGATTAACATCAGATTAATTTAATATTCTGATTAATAGTGGGGGAAAAAAAGATAAATATCCTACCACTGAGAGAGAAATCAACGCTGGAGACCCCAAATATGATGCTCTCTTTGGAATAAATAGCCACTTCTCTGTCTGCCCTCAAGTCATACAGACGGCACTGTAAAAAAGGGGAGGGCTTGATTTTTAAAATTCATTTCAATGTGTTTCTGAAAGCACATTGTGAGGCAGGTAGCTGGTACATAGGCATTTAAGATAAAATCAAGAAATAACATCAGAGTACTTACTGTAGCATCATCTGAGCCAGACGCAAAAGCATCTCCACTGGGATAGTATCTATTAAAAAAACAGACAGCAACAATAACAAATCACTCTCTTAAAGCTATTATGTGGAAGATTATATTTCTGACTTTTAGTGACTCCCAGTGGTAAAATCAAAAAAGACACTGTGGTTTACAATGAATAGGCTACAAGCAACGTATAGATTACACAGATTTTCTTTGGGAATGTTTCATTTTGGCTGTCAAAAACATAAGCCATAAGAATATTGTAAAAGATGTTATCATCACATAAAAATCTATCATGTAGAGGCTTTAAAATATCAGAAATTTCCTCACTAAAGGATAAACTGAAATATGTGGGTATCTACACTTAAATCAGAAGTAAAAACAGATGGAGCCATCTCCAAGCAGTCACTTACCGCACGCTATTTATGTCTGATTCATGAGTTTCAAAGGATTGAATGCACTGTCCTGAACGCATGTCCCACACATTAGCCTTCTTATCACAGCCCTGTTGGAACAATAAGGCAGAACATGACAAAAATGTTTTAAAACATGTTTAAACTGTTCCAGTAAGAGAAGAGAGTAGAAAAGTGTCCTCACCCCAGAGACGAATGTGTTTCCAGTCTCAGATGGGGCCAGGTCCAGACAGAGCACGTCTGCTGCGTGTCCATGGAAACTCTGCAACAGCTGCCCGCTCTCAACGTCCCACAGAGCGCATGTTCCGTCCCCGCTGGACGTCAAGATCTTTAACACAGAGAAACCATAAGAAGGGAGAACAAGAACTGCTCTTGAGTTGAACAAAATCAGACAGAAAAGTAAAAGTCAATATGGGCTGACAAAGGGCTATAAATGGACCGTCTTCACTGTGTGAAACATCACGTGACCACGACGTCAAATCAGGAGCAAGAGTGAATTATTAACAAAGTCAGGGAGCCCTTCTCGGCTGAATATGGAAGGCAGTGATTTCTGAATAATAATGGCAGCAAAGCAGAGAAGCAGCTGTGTTTGTAAAGTGTTAAAAATACGGTGGGTAATCTCACCTGCATATCCGAGTTGGTGAAGCTACAGGCAGACAGGTAGTTTGTGTGCATCGCCACTGACTTCTTCTTCGCAGCCAAGTTCTCGTTCTTGTCCAGGGACAGGGGATACACGGAGCATTTGTTATCCAGGCCCCTGTACATACAAAAAAATAAAACCAATTTATGAAAAAACAGAAAACCTTAAAGATGACACAACAGATTTTGACCATCATGGGCGGCAACACACTCACCCACAAGCTACAGCGCAGCCAGAGGGGGCGTAGGCGCAGGCCATCACCCAGGTGCAAGGCATTGTCACAGCATGTTCCTAATAACCATCAAAAGACAAAGCTGCATGAGCCGCGCCGGGACAGTGAGAATTCATTAGGCATAAATAGAGTAGAACAATGAGCTCTGGGATGATAAATATTAGAGGTGATGCAGTTTGTTTGAAATCAAAAAACTTTGAAGGACATTTTTAGACTATGTTGTGGTCAGTTTTGAACTCTAGTAGTGGTTTGTTGTGGCCCTTTACCTCTGTTCTCATTTACAGACGGAAACTCTTTGGCCTATATAGCACACCATCTTTTTGATGTGCAAATCAACTTTCTATTATGTCTCATAGATTAGATTTTCTACGTGATACTGGAGAATGCTGGAGCCCTCAATTCAACCACAGCGGAAATACTTGCAGGAGGATATGAAAGGAACACGTTAAATATCTGAACATTTTAGAGTTACCTTGTTGGTGGTAAAAGCGTCCCACACAATCACTTTTCCATCCTGCAACGAGACATGAAAGGCATTAATCCAACAGTAAACCAGCTTTACTGCAAACTATAAAATCAGGGCTTTCAAATCTCAGCAGCAGTGCAAAGCTTGTGACCTGTGAGGAGCTGACGATTCTCCTCTTGTCCTTGCACCAGTCCATACACAGAACTTTGTTTCCATGTCCCTTCAGAGTTCTCCGGGTCTTCATGACGAACTGACCCAGTCCCTCCACCTTCTCTGCCACCTGATGTACTGCACACACACACACACAGAAAATACACATTACATTAAAGCTTCTACTGTAATTTATAATATTCCTTGCAGCAGCAGCAGGGATTAAAGTACAGTAGGCCCACGCTGAACAGAGGAAAAGGCCGATATTGAATTAATCTTAATCTGTCATGTTCCCAAATAGCTCCAATCTCATCAAACATGCATGATCAATAGACTGTCCAGTTTTTCCACATTCAGATTTTACATCCCTGCTTTTTTTTTTTTTTTTTTCAACAGATATATATAGATTTCTCAAACATGATTGGACAAAACCAGCACACAGGAGAAATTACGATGGAAGCAGTGGGCTGTAAAATGGGGAAGCAAACAAACAGCCTCCTCCAGCCAAATCGGTCACATCAGGCCAAATCAGATCAGCAATCTTGTTCCCACGGAGTCAGATTCCGTGAAACACCAGCAACATTTCACCTCCGTCAGAGCAACATGAGGCTACAACGAGACATTTTCCTCTATTTGTCCTGTCACAGTGTAAACGCAGGAGTGAACCGAGGCCTCTCCATTTTCAGACTCACGCTCGACATCGTGCAGCTTCGCTCTTTCCTCCTCCAGCTTCGACTTCAGCGTCTCCGACTCCGTTTTGAGATGAGCCAGAGTCTCGTTCAGCTGTACCTCCTGTGTCGCCATTTCAGGGATTAGAGGGGATCTCATATATTTCCTTTGTGCAGGAAGCGATCGGCAGCGAAAAGGCTTAAAGCGGAGCTAACAGCTGATGCTGCTGCTGTCATGACGTCAGGGGGATGAAGATGATGCTCCTCAGTTTCCAGGGAGGAGGAGGAGGAGGAGGAGGAGGAGGAGGAGGATCCAGCATCCCGGTGATGCTGCGCACAGCCCGCATCCTCAGCAGCGCCCTGCCTCACCACACTGGGATAAATAATGCATTTACACACCACACACATGAAAATAACACATGCTGATTGTCTGTAGTGCAAAAACAGAGCAGACAAATAGGCCACCCTGACATTTTCACTGATGAAACGACAGAAATGGAGCGAATATTTTTTATCTATTAGGCTGATTTTTTTTATTATTATTTATTTATTTATTTATTTTAAAGCCTAATATAAAAGGTTACATCCGAAATTAACTATGCCCTGTTTGGATTTTTTGCTTGGAGTAGATGATTCAACATTATGCCTTTAATTAATCAATCTGTGTAGATTCTCAGTCATCCAGGTAACTGAAGCTGTGTGTAAAACAAGGTGCTGTATAAATAAACTCTCATTTATAATTTATTTCACTACTTATTTTCACATTTGAACAGGGCTGTGAAGGCACCAAGGTCACATATTCTGGAGTTATTCTGGAAATCTAGCATTTTTTGCAAACTAGACAAAGACTACATTCCGAAAACACATATGGTGAGTGTTTAATTGCCTCAGATTTTAGTGAAACTGTTTAACTTGAGCTTTTTTTTTTTTATAACCAAGTGAAATAAAAAGCACACACATACGCACAGGATTCATTGTTTCCCTTACCAGAATGACATTTCTAGTCGTGAGAAAAAACAACAACAACTCTGAAATAGACGTTGAAGTTGGTGAAACAACTTTTTGGACAGCAGTCAACCATATTTACACTATTCATTTATTTGTTTGGTTTTTCAATAATCAAAATGGTAAGAAAAAAAAAATGTCCATTCCAGTTTTCAAACATGTCTGAGGTAGCATTCAAATGGCTCAAATTGGTTTTGTCTAAACAACAGCTACAAAGCCAGTTATATTCAGGTTACACTGGCATAAAAAGTCTGGATTGGTTGGAGGTTTTGAAAAATGACTGAAACAAAAAACTGATTATCAAAATAACTGCACATTAATTGACTCAAAAAGTCAAATTTATTTACTGACTTATGATTGCAACTCTAAAAAATTGTACACATTTAAAAGAATAAAATATGATTTTCCTTCATTTGGTATGGGGTCAGAATCTTGCAATGCACGGAATTCAATCATTCCTAAATTCTGGCCATCGTTGTACATTTTAAATATGTCCTGTACATGTTTTATTTAAAGTAGAATAAATACAGTCAGAAGCAGCCACAGGCAACTGGAGTATGAATCAGTCCTGAGGAGTGAAAGGTCAAAGGCGGCACTGCATCACATCCTGTTTAGGAAGTCGAGATGAAGGCTGTTTGGGACCTGAAGCAGCTCCAGAGCCTGTGAGGACGAGCAGAAAGGAAACATGACCTGGAAACGATAATCTGTGTCCAACATCAGCTGTGTGGAGCCTTCGTGGTCCTGTAGTAACGCCTGCAGGGAAGAACAGACATTTTAGGTGAAATGCAAACATGGCAGACATTTCCCAACAACGTTCTGTAGTTTTATATAGAAGACGGCGTAAAATCTAAACAAACAGGACAGCTCACCTGAACTTTGCGGACAAATGATGACGACACCCTTTTCTCAAAATCATCAATGGGTGTGTATGAATTCAAAATCTTGACAATCTGCAAATATACATGAGTTTTAATTTTAGTGCGAATGAAAGCGTTTTTAACATCAAAAACAGCGTTACACGTCACTGAACAAAGTACCTGAACGGTGTTGAGTTCAGTGCATTTCTCAGCGATCTCTTTGGCGTCATCGTCGGTGGACTTGTTGACCTGCAGCAGCCAGGCAGCCTGAGACAGAGGCCTCAAGGTATCGATGGCATTGGAGCTTTGAAGCTCCTTCTCTTTCAGCCACTCCTCCAAGTAACTGATGTTACATCTAAAACAACAGAGCAGCTGTAAAACTGAACTTTTTGTCTTTTATTCAGATGTCGCTAAAGCAAACACAGACCTGATTTGCATTCCCTTCCTGCAGGAGCACATGTCTTTGCGGAGCATGATGTTGTTGAGGGTGATGGCTCCCACTAAGAAGAAGAGCTGTTTGATAGCTTGTTTGACGAGGCCCTGGTCCATGCCGTGGTGGTTCATGGTGGAGTGGAAGACGGTGAGCTGCTGCAGGATGGAGGAGATGGTGTGGGTCTCTGAGTCCTCATAGACACTGCTGGAACGCTTCCTGAAGCCCGTCGGTTTCATGCTAGAAATGCCCTGTAAGCTCTCGTGCTCCAACATACCGGGTACTGTTAACACAAAAACACATTTTAGATTGCTTAGAAAAGTTAAGCCCCATTAAATTTTCATACGGTAACGACGAATTCTGTTAAGTACCAATAGCAGGAGTGAGATCCTTCTCCATGATCGTGATAAACTGGTGATAGATGTGAATGGCCAGGTCGCTGAGAATCTGTCTGTGTTCGGACAAGTCAAAATTCTGCAAGCAGTTCTTTTTCTGGCGAGGAGTGCTTTGTTTCAGGAACTCCTTTTTGTGAAAAGGATGCAGAAGAAAAGAATGTCAAATATGTGACATTATCCTCCGACAAAAACTATGACAGTGTAACCATGGATAAATACAGTAAATCCACACCTCCTCCCCGCTGTACTGCTTTAGACAGTTGAGCAGCTGGTACGTGTTGGAGAGCCAGAAGGACAACAGCTCAAAGTCTTTGTGGTGACTCTGAAAAAGAAAAATGTCATTTGTATTGTAAGATCAACAACATCATAAAGTCAGATTACCAAAGTAAACAAAGCTGCTGCCAACTTACGAGCTACATAATCTTACATAAACTAATGAATTCTACTTTTTTTATTGTACCTTTCATAGCGATAATGACTAATAGACTCAGACTCAACCTCACCATGATGACTTTTTTGATGCCACCGATGACTGCGCTCATTAGAGACTTGAGTTTGACTTCGTCGTTCAGGTAGTCGGCATGTCGGACACACATGAAGAGGATGTAGGCTGGCAGGCCGGGGATCATGTTCACCACCACGCCTTTGGGCTTCAAGTCTGCAGGCAAACATAAAGTCATCCATTTAGTCTGTTATTACTATTTAGGACTCAGGTTATATGGGTGCTGAGAGAATCACTGTAATTAAACGGGTTTATTGGGATCATAAAATATACACAGTAGAGGGGAAGAATACCCAGAATGATGTTCTGAATGAGCCTGGGTTCATCCTCTCTCTTGTACTCCAACATGCCGAGGTAATCTTTAGGAATGGTCGACGCAGGCGCTTGTTTTGCTGTGTGAGAAACAACAAATGCGATGAATATGGTGAAATGATATTTGCCATATGAGTTTGCTTTGCATGCACGCTACCTTTCTGTGATGCTTCAAGGCTTTTTATTTGATTCTGGAGTTTCTTTATTAGTCTGTCTCTCTGGTCGAGCATCTCTTCAAAGTCCTGGAATAAAAGAAGAGTTTCTTGTTGTCTTTCATAGAGACAAGATGTGAATTCATACACTCGTACTGCGACCCTTTGTATGTGCACACACCATGTTCTCAGCAGTTAACCGTGACGTCTCATGTCTCAGTTTCATCTTGACTTCACTCTCCATCAGCTGCTGTCTCTTCAAGTGTTCATTCTCCTCCTCCAGCTCCTCCACTCTGCTTTCCAGCTCCCTTTTCGCCTCCTCCAGCTCATCAGCTTTCTCCTCAAAGTGCCTAAAAAAATCAGGATGACTCAGAAATGACTGTCACTCCATTAATCAAGTAAGAGACTCCATTATTGGGGAGGAATGTACCTGCGTTGTGAGCTTTCTTCTGCTATCTTTCTGTGCAGAGTGTTAGTGATCTCCATGTTTTTTTCTTTTGGACAAAATGAACAAAAAAACAAGCATTAAAATAAGTAAAATACTAATGTGCAAAAGACCTTCTTGGTGAGATTGTTGGACAAATAAAAGATCAACCTGCTAACTCTCTATTCTGCTCCTCTACAAGGCCCTCGAGCTCTTGCTTTTGTCTCTGCAGCTCTGAAATCTGCAGTTTCAGCTCCGGTATAACCTGTATATCAGATTAAACATTAGATTACAGTCTTGTCCTGCACCTTATCTATCCCAACAATGAAATCCACAATGAGGAAAGCAAGGACTCACTGAGTTCTCACTGCTGAGCCTGGACACTTCTTGGCGAATGCTTTCATTCACATTACTTTTCTCCTGGAACAGGTTTTGCAGTTTGCTGTTCTCATTTTGAAGATGGTCCATTTTCAATGTCAAACCTTTCACTTGAGTCTCGTAACTTTCCTTCTGCTCCCTCTGGTGGTTTTCCAAAATCCTACGAACAAACGTGAAACTATGTTTAACGTGTTTAAGTGTGCACAGGTTTGTCACATCGGTGTAAGCTGATTTTAGGATTCCGGGAGTTGACAGTAAAAATGTAGACCTGGTAGCTTTCTGCAGGCCTTCAAAGACTACCAGCAAATCTTCAGCTTCATAAATCCTCTCAGGGTCATCTGGTGTTAGCCTTTGGAGAAACAATGTGTGAGATTAAATGCTTAAAGGAGAGTAAAGCGAACACTTAATGTGGTTGGATTACCCCAAAAGAACCTCCTCTTCAACAACACCACCAAGAAGCTGTTTCGTAATCTCGCTCATTTTAGCTGCAGAGAAATATGAAGGCATCAGCAAAATATGTATTTGTATATAAGGGAATCGCTCTCACAGCTGATAGTATAAAAGCAAAACTCTGTACTTTTAGCTTGTTCCGACTGTTGCTTCATCTTTCGGTCCATGCTATTCTTCTGATTCTGCAGGTTGTTCAGGTCTCTGCGTAGCTCGGGAATGACCTTGACGTGCTTGGTGAGCTGGATGACCTGTTCC